CAGCTAACATAATGAAGACATGGTGCTAATAATTGTTTGGAGTAGGAGGCTGATCTTTTAGAAATTTCCCTGAATGCCGTAAAAGGGGCCCTGGTTGTTTTCAAAGAAGCAAAGTGAAATCTAAGGCTCTCAAATCTGCTAACAATTATCCTCACAGCCACTGTTGCTGGTCCTTTCCCCACTCTCTCCATCACATGGCTGCCTCAGAGCAGGAGCTGTATGGCAGGTTGAGCGCTCTGTGGGGCAGGAAGCCATTACACCTTATTACCTTTGAGTGACTAAGCCTTTTGTGCAGGAGCTGAATATAATTAAAACACATTTCCATTGTTAAGCTGTTAGAGCAAAGAGGAGCAGGGCTTGGGCTTTTCTTTTTGTCCTACCTGTCTAGTGAGCTTGTGAAAAAATAGCAAGACTGAAGTAAAGAAAAATCCAAAATTATTTGTTGGAATAGCAATATTGACAATAATAAATAAAAGATAAAAGAACAATGACTACACATTATTTAAGCCACACAGACATCTGATGCAAAAGGTGGGTATCTATCATTTCAGAAAAAGAAGAGAATTACTCAAAGTGTGGAGACAACTGTTTACACAAGCTCATGCAAGTCCCTTTTCATACTTAACATGGCTGTGGACTTTGGAAGTCCATTTTTCAGTCTTGACTTAAGCTATAGAAACTGCCAGAGCCATCTCAGATTGTTTAAAAGAGGTTTCAACAAGTTGGAAATCCCTTCCACCCTTGTGGGAATTCCTGCAAGAAACCGAGCAGGCTGAAATATGCCAAAAAAAACAATGTTTGGCATAAGTAAGTAACTGTGGCTGCTGCTGCTACAGTAATTTAAGACAGGCAGCAGCTGGGAAAGACTGTTTCTCATGGTAACCCTTTCCATGTGTGTCCTCCACCCAGATGTAAAGTCAAAGACCCTCCTCTCAAAGCAGGAGCTTTGAAGCTCTTAAGTGATATTTAACTCCAACAACACAACCCCTTTTTCCTCATTATAAAGCAACCAGTAAAATAAGATACCCCACCTCAAAGACTCCAGGACTTCGAAGAGAAGAGTTAAAGCAAAGGAAGGAGACATAACCTTGCTTTGCTCAGGAATCCTAAGAATTGTGCTACATTTTAACACCACTGTTTGAAGTTGGAGAATGCAAAGCCACTTAGCCAGATTTTTATCTCCTGGACTCAAACGTGGTAATAGAGACTCTAACATCTGAGTCTGCCTCTGACCTGATTTTTGGCTGCTTCTCCAAGATACTTTTGAATTCATATGCTTTTAATTTCTGAAACAAAAAGTGTTTGGGAAAGGAAATGAGTATGAAAAACATATCTGCAATCTGGGAGCTACAGTTAATCGAAAGGAATTGTCTGTTTCTTATTTATATATATAAACACAGAGAGTGATGATGAAGGACTCTAGATTTTCTGTGAGTTGTTCAGAGTGTAATGAAAACAGCAGACCCCAGAATCTTACCGTATGGCTTATCACATACAAATTGATGTTATTAGCCCATGGAGGAAAAGCAATGGCTTCTATAGCATTCTCTTTGCTGCTCCCAAAGAGTCATGCCCAGAACAATGTGGTACTGGCACAAGGAGGAGCTCCACAGCCTCTTCAAGCAGTCCATCAAATTACATTAATAAAAAACATTTGGATCACATAGCTGAATGGTAGAAATGCGTCTATTTAACACTGTCAGTATTATTTCTGGATAGAGAAGGGTCAAGTATCTAATACCTCTGTACTTGAATGAAAGCTGGAGGAGAAAGGCGGAAGATGTGTGTTTAAACAAATGGGCTTATTTTTAATAGTAGCTCCATTTCCATTCAGACACTCTTTTATTATTCTGCAAACATTCACACTAGCTGCTTTATAACTAAAAAGAAAAAAAAAGTTAAAAATGCTAAAGCATGGCTTATATCTCCATGTGTACGTGGATATATCATACTCACATGGATATTTCTGGAAGAAGTGTTCAAACAGCAAGCTGAAAAAGGGGCCCAAGAGCTCAAGGCAAATGTCATAAGACTTGAGCAATGAAGCACACAGACAGAATACAACAGTCTGCTTTCAAAGCAGAGCAGCAAACAATTAATGAGAAACGTACTGGGTGACAACTCTTATCAGCCACTTCTGAAATAATTGCAAGTATGTTTACAAAACTCTGAGCATACTCAATGACAATTTGAAAAGTATGAAACTCAATTCATTAAATAGGTTAATCACTTCAAATAGTTCAACTACTTCCTGTAAATCACAGTCTGAAGAAAGCAGCCCTGAAAAAGCATTTCTGTTTGGCATGGCTTATCACCATTGCCTTTCCTGTTTTGGTAAATAGTGCATTCTGGTTTATGTAGGCTGTGAGATCACTCCAGTATTTTTCTCCATATAGTTGCTCATTACTTTGTGAAGGATTTATAATGCTATTAAAATGGACTCTTCAAACACACAGCAAAGCAACAAACAAAAGTTTCTCCTCATTTTGTCAATATGGTGAACATAAAGGGCTTGTGTGAATCAGCTTTACCCCTGAAGGACCCCCCCAAAGATGGTTGCCATTTGGACCACCTGAGGGCCCTTTGAGGCTGCCACACACCACCCAGGAGTTACCTAATTCCTCCTGCTGCACCAGTAGCAATCCAGCATCATCAACCATCTCCTCATAAGGACATTAGCATCCATTTCCTCAGCAAGGCAGTGACCATCTCCTTGGCAGGCACCAACTACCATCTCCTCAGCAAGCACAGGCACCCATCTCCCCAGCAGGCTCCAGCAGCCATTTCCTCAGAATGATGTTGGCATCCATCTCCTTAGAGAGTCACTGGCATCCATTTTTGTTCAGCAAGGCATCATTCCATCACCTCAGCAGGCACCTAAGACCACTTCCTCTGCAGGGCACTGGCAGCCATCTTGGCAGCAGGGGCATTTCAATCTCATGGAAGAAAACATCCTTTCCTCATAGGTGAGGCAGCACACATCTCCCAAGCAAATACCAGAGGCCACCTCCTAAGGAGGCACTGGCACTAATGTCCTCAACAGAGCACAAGCCCTACCTCCACAGTATGGCACTGGCAGTTATTTCCTCAGCTGGCACCGGCAGCCATCTCCTCAGCAGGACACAGGCACCCATCTCCTCAGCAAGCACTGTCAGCCATCTCAGCAGAGCACAGACATCCCTCTCCTCAGCTTGGCACTGGCTGACATCTCCTCAGCAAAACACAGGCACCTCTTCACCGCCATCTCTGTGGTGCCAAGCACTTCCCAACAGCTCCTCAGGAGACGGGAGAGGGTGCTTACCTGTGGGGCCTAAAGTAACTGGCTGCCAGGTGAACTGTGTTTGTGTCCCATGTTGGGGGTGGAGCAGCTTGAGAGAAAGCCAAAGCAGCCAGCACACCAAAAGGCAGGAAATGTCAGTGTTTGTCAACTCTGCTGCCCAGGGAGGCTGCAAGGTGGAAGCAATTCCACCAAAGGGTCATGTCACAATGGTGTCCCCATATGAGGGGAGCAGAGCCCTGGGAAGCATTAGCCGGCCTGGTTTGGAAAGCCCCAATCCTGGAAGCCATGATGACTGAGCTGTGCTGGGATGCAAGTGAGAGACTTTGACACACCAGCACTTTGTCCAGCTGCAGACTTACCCTCGCTGCAGCTCCTTGCTATCACCTGCACACTGCAAGATGCCACACAAAGAGGATGCTTGAATTCCTGCAGCAGCATGGGGGGCCTGCAGCTTTGCATTTCTACATGGCCTGGTCCTATGCAACCCTGTGCTGCGAGCAGACAGCTGAAATGGGATAGGCACTTCTTCCTTTCATGTTTGATGGTGGTGATGCATCTTTCTGAGGAATCCCTAGAGGAATGGCAAAGAAGAAAGCTGAAGATGGCCAGAGGCCCACAGGCCAGGTAAAGTGGCTCTTGTCCTGCTTCCTCCTCGGCCCTTGGGTTTGTACTATCTCCTAAGTACCAGAGAAATGACACAGTGGAATACCTTAAATGCAGTAGTGAAAATAATTTTGGGAAAGGGTCCTTTGAATGTGCAAACTTGAGGAAAATACATGTTAACATCTGCTGATTCATCCCAAAGTATTTGCTATTGTTTCCCACAGTGAATGAGGTTTTGCAGGATCAGGCCAGTGCCCCTTGATATCCTGCTGAACTCCCAGGTACACACAGAGCCTCAAATAACAGCAACAGCAAACTTGAAAATTTGCAGATTTTGCCAGTTAAAGCTTATGCCCAGATATCTTCATGGACTGAATTTTTTAGAAAACCTTAAAACTAATACATTTCTAAATAACTGCAGATTCCGGCAAGAGCATTGTTATTAAAACAGACTATGCTTACTAGACAAAACAGTCTAGGTGAATCAAACCAACATACATCACTACTTACTAGAAAACTCTCTACTGAGCATATTTGTAATCTGAATGATCTGAACAAGGAGGGGAGTCAAAAGAATGAAAATCATGGTGGGGTGAAAACTGAAGGCATTTCTATTCATGTCACTTAATTTTTGAGTACTTTTATTTGCATTAATGTAATTTGAACATTATAAACTTCCACTTAATGTTTAAAATCTATTCTATCACAAGCTTCTTACAGCAGCCAATTAAAATCCAGGGTGCTGTATGCGTCCAGCAAGCTGCTTATTGCCTATGCTGTCTTTTTTAAATTCAAACAACAGAATTTCACCTCTTTGCAGTCCATTGCACTTTCTCATTCTCTTGCACTAGCACAGGGTGTTGCTAGTTGTTGATTTTTAGGATCATTTAAATGGAAAATATAACTAAAAACATGCATTAAAATCTCTTGTGCATCTTCATAGAATCATAGAATAGTTAGGGTTGGAAAGGACCTTAAGATCATCAAGTTCCAACCCCCCTGCCATGGGCAGGGACACCTCGCTCTAAACCATATCACCCAAAGCCTTGTCCAACCTGGCCTTGAGCACTGCCAGGGACGGAGCATTCACAACCTCCCTGGGGAACCCATTCCAGTGCCTCACCACCCTAACAGGAAAGAATTTCCTCCTTATATCCAATCTAAACTTCCCCTGTTTAAGTTTAAACCCATTACCCCTTGTCCTATCACTACAGTCCCTAATGAAGATTCCCTCCCCAGCATCCGTATAGGTCCCCTTCAGATACTGGAAGGCTGCTATGAGGTCTCCACGCAGCCTTCTCCAGGCTGAACAGCCCCAACTTTCTCAGCCTCTCTTCATATGGGAGGTGCTCCAGTCCCCTGAACATCCTCGTGGCCCTCCTCTGGACATGTTCCAACAGTTCCATGTCCTTTTTATGTTGAGGACACCAGAACTGCACACAATACTCCAAGTGAGGTCTCACGAGAGCAGAATAAAGGGGCAGGATCACCTCCTTCGACCTGCTGGTCACGCTCCTTTTGATGCAGCCCAGGATACGGTTGGCTTTCTGGGCTGCAAGCTCACACTGAAGCTGGCTCATGTTCATTTTCTCATCGACCAGCATCCCCAAGTCCTTCTCCTTGGGCTGCTCTGAATCTCTTCTCTGCCCAGCCTGTAGCTGTGTCTGGGATTGCTCCGACCCAGGTGTAGGACCTTGCACTTGGCATGGTTAAACTTCATGAGGTTGGCATCAGCCCACCTCACAAGTGTGTCAAGGTCCCTCTGGGTGGCATTCCTTCCCTCCAGCGTATCAACTGAACCACACAGCTTGGTGTCGTCGGCAAACTTGCTGAGGGCGCACTCAATCCCACTGTCCATGTCAGCAATGAAGATGCTAAACAAGACCGGTCCCAACACTGATCCCTGAGGGACACCACTCATTACAGGTCTCCAGCTGGACATTGAGCCATTGACAACAACTCTTTATGTGCGGCCATCCAGCCAGTTCTTTATCCAGCGAGTGGTCCATCCATCAAATTGATGTCTCTCCAATCTAGAGACAAGGATGTTGTGTGGGACAGTGTCAAACACTTTACACAAGTCCAGGTAGATGACATCAACTGCTCTACCACTGCCCATCAGTTCTGTAGCCCCATCATAGAAAGCCACCAAATTGGTCAGGCAGGATTTCCCCTTAGTGAAGGCATGCTGGCTGTCACCAAGCACCTTGTTGATTTTCATGTGCCTTAGCATGCCTTCCAGGAGAATCTGCTCCAAGATTTTGCTAGGCACAGAGGTGAGACTGACTGGTCTGTAATTCCCCGGGTCATCCATTTTCCCCTTCTTGAAAATGGGGGTTATATTCCCCTTTTTCCAGTCATCGGGAACTTCACCTTACTGCCATGATTTTTCAAATATGATGGCCAGCGGCTTAGCAACTTCATTCACCAGCTCCTTCAGGATCCACGGATGGATTTCATCAGGACCCATGGACTTGTGAACGTTCAGATTTTTAAGATGGTCTCGAACCAGTTCCTCTCCTACAGTGGGCCCAAGGTCTTCATTCTCACAGTCCCTGCATCTGCCTTCAAAGACTTGGGTGGTGCGGTCAGAGCCTTTGCCAGTGAAGACCGAGCTAAAGAAGTCATGCAGAACCTCAGCCTTCTCCAAATCCTGTGTAGCTATTTCTCCCAAGAGCTTCCTGAGGGGCCTACGTTCTCCCTAGTCTGTTTTTTATCTGCTATGTACCTGTAGAATACCTTCCTGTTATTCTTAATATCCCTAGCCAAGTTTAATTCTAACTGGGCCTTAGCTTTCCTAGCCTGGTCCCTAGCTGCCTGAACAACATCCCTGTACTCTTCCCAGGCCGCCTGTCCTTGCTTCCACTTTCTATAAGACTCTTTTTTCATTTGAATTTTCCTCAGCAGCTCCTTATCCATCCAAGGAGGTCTCCTGGCCCTCCTGCTGCACTTCCTTGTAGTTGGGATGCAACACTCCTGAGCTTGTAGCAAGTGATCCTTGAATATCAACCAAGAGTCTTGGGCCCCTCTGCCCTCTAGGGATATATCCCATGGAACCTTACTAAGCAGGTTCCTGAAGATGCCAAAGTCTGCTCTCTTGAAGTCCAGGGCAGTGAGCTTGCTGCACGCTCTTCTCACTCTCCTGAGGATCTCAAATTCGACCATCTCGTGATCGCTGCATCCAAGGCTGCCCTGGAGTGCCACATTTCCAACGAACACTTCCCTCTTGGTGAGGACGAGGTCAAGCATGGCACCTCTCCTTGTTGGCTCCTCTATTACTTGCAGGAGGAAGTTGTCTTCCACACAATCGAGGAACCTCCTGGATTGCTTGTGCCAGGGGGTACCATCATTCCAACAGATGTCAGGGTGGTTGAAGTCACCCATGAGAACAAGGGCTTGTGAGTGTGAGGCTTTTCCTGCCTCTCTATAGAGTGCTTCATCCGCAGGTTCTCCTTGATCAGGCAGCCTGTAACAGATCCCCACAGTAATGTCTCCCATCGCTGTTTTCCCTTTAACCCTGACCCACAAACTCTCTGTTAACTGCTCACCCATCCCCAGACAGAGCTCGATACTCTCCAGCCTATCCCTAACATAAAAGGCAACTCCCCCTCCGCGCCTGCCAAGCTTGTCTTTCCTAAAGAGTCTGTAACCTTCCATTCCAACACTCCAGTCATAGGAACTATCCCATCATGTTTCTGCGATGCCTATTATATCATACTCCCATAGACATGCATACATCTCTAATTCCTCTTGTTTGTTACCCATGCTATGGGCATTTGTATAGAGGCATCTAAGCCAAGCTCCAAATGAAGCTGTCTCATTGGCTGGAGCAGCTGGAATATCTCTACATTGCTCCTATCATTTATTATAGGTGCTGGCAACTGACTGGGTGTGTTGGAATGGAATGATGCCCCCCTCCCCCAACACATCTAGTTTAAAGCATCCTTGACCAGTCTGGCAAGCCTCCTACCAAAACTGTGCTCAGACCAGCTCCACCAGCCCCTGCTAGACCTGGCCTACAAACTTGGGTCCAATGTTCAAGACACCCAAACCCCTGACTATGACACCAGCCTTTTAACCATTTATTAACCTGGCCAATCCTCCTGGCTTTTTTTAGGTCCTCCCCTGTATCCTGGAAAATAGATGAAAAGACAATCTGAGCTCCAGAGCCCTTAACCACCTCTCCCAGAGCTCTGGAGTCCTTTTTTATGTTCCCCAGGCTACTACTAGCTATATCCCTAGCACCCACATGTATCACCAGAAGTGGGTAATAGTCTGTGGGGCTTGCCTGGCACTCTGTCTTTTACATTCCTTTATTCCCTATATCTAATCCATATCCCCAAATTATTTGACAATGTGCTCTGAAATATCTAGCAAGACTTTGTACAAAGTGGGTTTATTTTGTACAAATGTGTTTGTGGCATTTATTAGTTAACAGGAAATAATTTCTGCTAAATTCATTCGGGTGATGTGTATTAGATTGATGCTACGTGGTACCTGTTGTGGGTTCATATGCCATATAATCTGTGTGCTTTACAACCTATAAAAGATTAATCATAAAAGCTAGCTGTTAACTTCATCACAATCAAGGTAAAAAACCTGCTTTTATGGTTGCCTGTATTTTATTACCTACAGATTTTATAGTAACTATTAGATCTAAGTTATAAAACTCAATTTATGTATGTTCAAAAAGTTTAAATGCTGTCTGGAAAAACTTTGCAACTAGAAGAACACACACAGTAAATGCAAGTAGGCATCAGTGTATTGGCAACATAATACTATGTACTTTTTAGGACTGACTTTTTCAGACTGTGGGTACTAGAAAATAAGTTTGGGGTTTGCATTTCAGGTTCATTTGCTTAGTTCACTATGCCAGTCTTACCACTGGACTACTTCATAGCAAAGAACTCTACCTTGTCCAAAAGCCTTTTGGATACATTTAACCTACTGCTTTGCCAACAAGATCTAATAATTAGTAGATTTCTTAGGAATGGAGCTGAAACTAGAGATGCTCTGAAAAATGAGTAATAGAAGAAGGCTTCCTACACTTTATATTATATGCGAAGATGTTTAAGTAGTTGTCTTCTGGTGTTTGCAATGTAAGCAGTATTAATCCTCCTATTTTTGCTTGAGAGGAGATGGATAAGAGGTGAGTCTCTTGGAAATACTGTTTAGAGAAGAAACACTCAGCCAATAACTAAAAGAAGGGAGCTAACGAACAATTGTTTTATCAAGGAGCTTTTTCTTTGGTATGTTACTAAGCTATTGGAGGTAGAAAGAAATGGGTAGTGATGTGGCTTTTGCGTTCTTCTTATGATATAGAAGGGTCTGAAAAAATGTTTGCTTTTTTAAAGAGTAACCCTACTTCCAACCGCAGTTTTTCCATATGTTAAAATTTCAGGTACCTTCATCTCAGGAAAACTATGCAATTACTGAAGTTACCAAAATCACCACAGTATAAAATTCACAAGGCTTTTATCCTGTGATGGGAAATCAGCAGGTGAAGAGGTTTATCCTCAGCTTATTCAAAACTATTTGCCATTTGTTTTTTTCTCATAAGAACACCAACTTCTAGTACTAAAGATTCAATACAGATGCAATGATCAACATGCTGCAAGGCTTTCTATGAAACTACAGAAGAGAGATGCCAGTCCTGATATTGCTGATGTAAAAACCAAGTTAAAATCAGCTCATTCTTAAAAATATATACAACCTTTCAGGCTTTCTTTATACAAGAAAAGCAAAGCAGAAGCATAGCTTTTAAAGATTATGCCTATGTTTCTTGTAAACTTGTACTAAATTTCCATTTGCTGGTTTTTGGATGTTGGTCATGCCTTTTTTAATGTCACCATACCACAAATGTTTTTTTTCTGCTTACTGCCTTTCAAGAAAAACAAGGAAAGGCAGAATGTTTCAAACAGATACCCCATTTTGGTAATTTTGAAGTGGTCTTCATTATAAAAATGAGAACCATATAGGAAAGAGAAGTGTTTCCAGTAATATCTTTGAAGGTGAATACAGAATAACTGTTTAATAATTCCTCCAATACCTATCCTTTCTTTGCCAACCAAGTATTTCTGTATTCAGTTTGATTCCACCTCTCCATGATGAGTTGGATATTCCTATCCCTCTGTGGTTATCACTAAGAGATTTGATTCTGGGCAAGCTGACAGAAATACACCATGGCAGCAGCATC